TCTTTCCCTCTGTTAAATTTGACTGAAATTAGTAAATTGAAACAAAAATATACATGAGTATGTAAGCCTGGCTTCTTTTGGAAAATAGCGAAAAACAAATTAAAAACACCCAGTGTTCATTTCCCAAGAACACACAGCTCAAAAGGCAGTTTGCTTGTGCAGGTTTGTTATGCTGCATGCTTCTGTACCAAAGGCATGCAGTACAGAGCTTGAATAGTACTGATATTTCACATGGTTAAATCTGAGCTCCAAAACTTACCAATTGCAGAGAAAGAGAGAACCCACACATACATACTGACTGAAACCACATATATTGTTTCGGTCTCCCAATGTAGAAATACATGAAGGAACATTGCTCAGGCTTTTGAGGTAAACCAAGCCAGCTTAAAGGAGTAAACAAGCGTGGAAAGCTGCAGCTTCATTAAGTGAATGTTTTAGAGTGAGAAAGACTTGAAGTTGTAACTTAAAATATACTGTAATGTTTGACAACAGTGGCAATATTTAAGTTTCAATTGCTATGTCTGAACTATTCCCAGCAAGTTAATTATATCCTTACTAAAGAGATAGTTAAACCAGACTATTATTCCACAAAACAATCTATTATACTTATTTTCACTTACTTTACAGGAAGTCCAACATCCATGATTTATCAGTCTGTATTGCATTCAGTGGCATGTTGTAACTTGTGTGCTTATTTAATTAACTAAATATTAAGCATTAAAGACCTGGTTTCTGGGTACATTCTTAGCCAAGAACTGTTCAGACAACACATCAGAACCGTGGTGCTTGGCATGCCAGTTCCTCTTTGGTGCAACTGTCGCATGCTTAGTTCCTAAGGAAAATGGAAGGTGGAGTATTTACAGTAGTTTTAGCTGCCATTCTACTGCAAATCAGCATTAAGGTAAAAAGAAGTGAGTTCTGAGTAGCAAGTGATCACTGAGAGTTACCCAGTTTCAAAGAGAATTTGTGATTTCCCTACTAGGACCAAATGCAACATGATTTAGACAGCTCTTTCCTTTAATGTTCTTCATTTGGCTGAAGGCAAGTCTGAATTAGAAGTCTATGGACCTAAATAGTAACTGAAAACACAGTAGCCTATGAATATTTGGGTATTCTCAAAATTAAAATGTAGTAACAGACCAGAATACAGCAAGCTATGCAGTTGGAACTGAGGCTGCTCTGTGATTATTTGTTACGTCCTTCGTTTTGACCCTTTAGCAAGTGAAGTTGCAGTTGAAGTTTTAAATACCTTAAACACAGTAACCAAACACCTCCAGGGGGAAATGGTGAATAAAAAAACCAGGATGATACATGATTAAAATCAATAGGAATTGCAGATCTAACCGAGTTGATTTGCTGAGGTAAATACAGAGAAACTATTTATATGGTGGACTTCAGTTAGCAATTAAGATACACTACTAACATTTGGGACTTGGTTATCTCTTACTGTATTTTCTAAGCATATAATTGGCTTATCACTTGAGAAGGTTTGCAGAAGCCTAGGTTAGCCCTATTAACCCTAAACCCTAACATGCATGGGTTTCTGGTGTGGGGGGGACTCATTTCCGGTGAGTGAAAGTAGTGTCCAGTCCAGGGCAGCTTATTAATGGCTCTTTCCGGTGTTTTTTTTGCATACTTCCGGTTTCAGAGAGGTCATGAAAGGGGACTTCCGGTTTCTGTGGAGGACTTTTCAATATGGCGCCTGGCTATAGAGGCGATGGTTTACCTTAATGGTTTGGTGTGGTGATCTCCATGGTAGTGTGGAGGACTTTCCAAAATAGCGGGTGGTCATAGAGGTGGTGACTTACCCTCATGGGGCTGTGTGGTGGTCTCTGTGGTGGTTCAGTTATCCTTGAGTGTGTGAGTTTTGTGTGTGTGGTTGTTTGCTATTGATTTTATGGTTTGATGTATCTGTGTCGTTTTCATGTGCCTGTGGTAGGGTGACTGTATTGTGGTTTATTGCATTTTTTTAATGCGTTTGATTTGTGTTTTGTTTTATATTGTGATATTTATTTTTTGTTAGGGCTTTTTTGGTTTTTATTGTTCTGTGTCTGAGTATTTTTTGTTGTACTTATTGGTTTATTGTGATTTTTTATAGTGTAGTTTTTTATTGTTTTAGGTTTTATTCAGTGTGAGTTTTTGGGTTCATTGATATGTTTTTTTAATCCCAATCTCAATCCCAATCCTAGTCCCAATCCCAATCCTAATCTCAATGTGAATCTCAATCCTAATGTGAATCTCAATCCTAATCCTGTTCTTACTGTGTTTTGTTTAACCTCCTCGTGCTGCTCTATCACTTACAAAAAACCCCTACAAAGCTGCTTAATACCCACTTCATTTGTTGCTACAAATACAAAGCGCAGCAGTACGAAAGCAATACACAGCCCAACAATACAGTACAGGTTGAAATACATAGCAAGGTCAAATAAAACACAGTACAGTGGCATACAATGCAAGACAGTCTCCACTGTCAGTCAGCACAAGTACAGAGCAAAGCAGTACAAGAGGCAATAATGCAAGAGGCAATAATCCAGTGCAATGCAAGAGTTGACGGAGTATTTGACATTTAACTTGGATCCTGTTTATGACCCCCTATATTCGCTGGAGGCATCTCAGTCTCTTTGCTCGTTACATAAGGAGATTTGGGTCTAATCTTTGTTTCAGAATACTTCATTACCCAGTAAATACTGCATTTTTCACCACCATGACTTGATACGAAAGTTTGAATAAAACTATTCATGGGTCAAATTTCACACTTGTTTGTGACTTGGAAATCCTGCCAAAGTATGTCTAGCTTAAAGATATGATGGCTGGAGAATAGTAATTCCTTGTTGTACACTTTTGACCATTTAAAATATCTGAAATGTGTAGCATTTTTATGGGCAGGGCTTTGCCAGCGTCTTTCAGTTCCAGTGAACAGCCTATTGTATCCAGGTGGGTATAACCTGGTCAGTTTCTGTAGTGCTCCTTGAGCTCAGCAGGCCAAGGAGAGAAAAGAAACAAAAAAAATACTGTGAAACTCATGCAATATTCAGGGCAGGTTCGGCTGGATGTATACTGGAGCTGATGCTACTTTTAACTCTTTTAAATTACCTAGATCCAAAATTGAAAAAATTCTCTGCAATAGTGAGAAAAGATGTATCTGCAGTTTGAATTAGAAATGCATCTAGAATTAGATTTTAGCATTTTAGGTGGAGTGCAGTACTGCTGAGGTGGTATGTTGGCATTGTCCTACGCAGATTAGTGATTTCACAGAAACTCCAAAGAAATGTTTACTGCACTAAGAATTTTATCTTCAAATAACAAATATTCCAGGGAAACAAAACAGATGTTTTGAAATAACAGAGAAAGTATACTTACTCCTCCTAAGCAAGTAAAACTAGTACAGAAATTTTACTTGATTATTTGGTAGAATGTGACGAGTCTGTCTTCACTTGCTGGAAGCAGTATTTGAAATAATTTTATTTATGTTTTCAGGAGCATGTTTAATTGATCCAGATGGAAGCCTGTTTAAATATCTTTTGGATTATCTTCATGGAGACGTTCAGAATCCTGAAGATGCACACCTTTGGGTTGCGCTGCAGGAGGAAGCAGATTATTTTGGCATCCCTTATCCATACAGTCTGACCATTTGGCCAATGAAATGGAGACATATTCTTTAAGGTCAAACACAGAGCTTAAAAAGGTCTTGATGTTTCTTGCATTTTTAAAGATGTACTCTCTAATCCACAACATTCATTAGCATCAGATATTAAAACAACAGTATCTGCAAGTTAGCACTTTTTAATCACCACATTCAATCACCAGTAAATTCAAAGTTTTAGGTTAAGAAATCCAAGAGTTGATAATGCAGTCATAGTAGTTAAGGACATCAACTTTTCCCACCACTGCAATACAGCAACAGTTTAAATTTGACTCTGTTTTAATGGAAGTCTGCTGTCAAGCTTACATGGTAGGAATGACATTATTTAGTTCCCTATTTGGCTTCAAAGTTTACTTGACCTTAGATTTGATCCCTTCAAGATGTTTGGGGTTTTTTTTCAGTTTTACAAATTAATCCTAAACCATGAAAGATAAAATGTACTTTGTCATTTTTTTTAGAAGAAGAAAGGAGAAAAGAAAATGAATATATTATTTAAAATCCCAAGGTTTGTCTGTTTTAGAATATTATAACTTAAAAGCTAACAGATTGGAAACTAACTAATATTACCAGGTATCACTGTGTTAGTCCTCACAGTTGTCTGTGTTCTCTTAGGAAGCTATTTCACATTATCCCTTATTCATTTCCTTTTGAAAAGCATAAGACACTTCTAGGCCTTTCAGTTTCTTTTAACTTTAAGGGTTTGCCATGCCTTTAAGTATTTCCATTGCCTTTCCGTGAAATTCTCCTAGTTTTATAATATTCTCTATTAACATCAGGTAAGAAATACTACACACAATTCTAGATAATCTACATCCTTGATTTACTTAAAAGAGCTCACCAGTACAATTAAGAAAACTTAAATATGGAAGCTTAATCAACTAACCCCCCCCCGTATTCTTATTAATATTCTGTATTTTGTGTTTTATGTTTTTTTCAGGCTTTGTTAGATTTTTGTGATTCTTACAGTTTAGTTTGTACCAAGCCTACTGTTTGGGTCCTGCACTATCTCATCACTTCTGGAGCAAGCTGTGAAAGTAAAATTACTGGTGTGTAGGCCACGAGAGTTGATGGGACTGATGCCATTAATAAGGACCTAGGGACGAAAATTCGTAGTAAAAGCATTTACAAAAGGTAAGATGACTGTCAAACACATGAAAGCACTATGAAGTGAGAATGAACACTCACTCATTATAATAATACCTAATTATATGTAGCATAATAGAGTATTATTGTACTATAAATCTGTGAAAGGAATAAGATTCTTTCCAGCTTTGAAAATGACTGGCTGATACAAAGATCACATTAAGCAAACAAATGAAAAAAGATAAAAACTAAGCATGGAGTACAGGAATTTCTCTGAGGGAGTCCACAAAAGGTGGCTACCATGCAGTTACCATAACTTCTCATTAAGTTTTACTTGCTATTTTAAAAATGTCTCAACCATTTAAAATTAATTCCTAATTTTGGGCGATATTCACAGTAAATACAGGGAATGAATGCCCCTCCAGAAAAAGTTCCAGAAATACTCACGAAGTTGGTTGTGAATTAACAGAATTGTATTTTTCAGTCTTCTAAGACAACTGAAATATTTAACACCAAAAAGAACTGAAGATGAAAAGAAATTGTTTCAATTCTTTAAAGGATATACGCATTTCTACTACTCTATTGGTGTATTTTTATGACAGTAATTATACATCATTGGTAGACCTGAACTTCTGAGTGTCTGAAAGCAATGTGTCTTTCTCTTGGTCCTACAGCACAGTGTCAGATGTGTGTGTACTTCACTGTGTACCTTTTGAAACCTGATTCAGATAGAGCTTTTGGTGTTTTGTCATCTTTGTAACCAAGTTGCTTATTTTCCTAAATTTAGGCTGGGAACATCAATATTTATTCCAAGAGTATTTGGACACATATTATCAGGTATCTGTCCTCCTGCTGTGTTTTCCCTTTGAATAAATGATTGCTATTTAGAAGAATAGATTTTACACCATTAATTCTGTAATTATTCTTTTATGAACATTTATTCTTTCATGACTCCCCATTTTTAGCAATAGGTGTTCACAGGCATGCAGATCATAGGAGGAGGGCTATTTAGAAACTCTTACACAAATGAAAATTAAATATAAGTAACATTTTCCTTTCTACTTTACACGACATTTATGATTAAAACCTTATAGTTAGGATTTGGTAAAAAGAATTACACATTTTCATCAGTTTTAAATTTTTAAGGGCTTAGCTAGATTTGCCACATAACTGTTACCTTTAAACAATATTTCTAGAAAAGCTGGAAATAATGTCCAATACATCTGGAGTTATTACTCAGTAGCTGAGTTCAAAAAGATGATGAATGCTTTTGATGCCTGGGAAGGGAGAGGTAGAGTATTATATATTTTCCTTTTATTTCCATAGTACTACTTTTTTGCAGAAAAATAAGAAAAATATTTGCCAATCAACTGTCATAAAGACTCTGCACGCATTTTCAGTCATTCAGTAAGTAACATGTTGTAAAATATCCCATAGTAGTGGCTATTTGGGGAAAAAAAAAGAAACTTAAGGGATGTTCCAACAAGGTGACATGAGTTGACGTGAATAAATAGACGTAGTGAGAGCCACCACATGCAAGGGGTGATAACCTGCTAGTGCTGGGCACTCCGGTGGAAGCCCTAGAAGCACACTGGCTCTAAGCAATGTTTATGCCAGCAGTTTCAAAGCTGAAATTTTGCATAATAAAATACACGCATTCATTTAGCTGGGTAGATATACATATAGTATTAACTATTATATTTCAGTTCATCAAGATGATGTCCCTTTGAAATTCAGGTGTCAGCTACTGGAGGGTGCCCCAGGAGCTGATTGAATTTGGACTCTTGAACATCCTTTGAAAGGCAGTTTGCGTCATATGGCTCCAGTTTATAAGAGGTATGCCAATCTGCATAGGTGGCTTAAAATGAAGCAGAAATATAGCACAATCTTTTTTTTAACAATTTCAGCTATGAATGTTGAGTTTTCTGTTTTTTTTCCTGTTTATGTTTTTATAATTTAAAATATAAATTTTCTTTTTTTTACATTTTAAAATATATTTTTTAATCAGAAAGCTTAACTGCAGGACTGACCTTGCTAGAAACAAATTACCTTTTTTTAGGTTGCTGAGTCTTCTATTCTGTTCTACCTCTTCAGCCTTTAAAACATCACTTTAGAGTGGGAAGGACTAATTTGAAAAAGTAGAGAGCAGTATTAGTTAAATGGATGTATAAACTTAAAATTTAACTGAAAACTTCAAAAAATTAACTGATTTTCACATGTGAGATGCCTTCCTTTTTTAGAAGGAATTTCTAGAATTTCTTCTCTGTAGTTTTACAGTGATACTTCTGACTACATCTTCATTCTCAATGCATTACCTAAAAGCAGCCTTTGCAGTTGTAGCTGTACAGTTGATCTGAGCCACCCTATAGCCACTTTGCTGCTAGATAGGAGAAGAGGATCCTGCTGGCCTTCCTTGTCCCTGGCCACGCTGTCATAGCAGCAGCAGCCACAGACCCACATCAGCACAATGATCCCACTGAAAACTCCTTCCCCACCCTCCTTCGCATTTTTGGATACCCCATTCTTTGCTTTTCATAGCTCAAATAGGAAAGACTGTGATCATTTGATCCTCGGATTGCAAAACAGCCTGCATATATTCCTGAGTGCTCCCTGATTACCATTGCTTGTTTTATGTCTCATCTTTCTGGTTTGATTTGACTTCTCTATTCTTCTGCACCCTCAAAAAACTATGTCCAGGTTGCAGCTAAAACTCCTGATGTACCACAGTGATCCTAGTGAGACATATACTGTCTTGAAATACTGTAAATGAACCTAGTTACTGATTTAGTTTAGCTATACTTCAATGCAACTATTAAAGCACCAAGTCTTTGAATGTTTAAGCTTTCACAGAATCACAGAACGTTAGGGATTGGAAGGGACCTCAAAAGATCATCTAGTCCAATCCCCCTGCCGGAGCAGGAACACCTAGATGGGGTTACACAGGAAGGCGTCCAGGCGGGTTTTGAATGTCTCCAGAGAAGGAGACTCCACAACCTCTCTGGGCAGCCTGGTCCAGTGCCCTGTTACCCTCACTGAGAAGAAGTTTCTTCTCAAATTTAAGTGGAACCTCCTGTGTTCCAGTTTGTGTCCGTTACCCCTTGTCTTATCAGTTTGTCACCGAGAAGAGCCTGGCTCCATCCTTGTGACACTCACCCTTTATATATTTATAAACATTCATGAGGTCACCACCTCTCAGTCTCCTCTTCTGCAAACTAAAGAGACCCAGCTCCCTCAGCCTTTCCACATAGGGGAGATGCTCCACTCCCTTAATCATCTTTGTAGCCCTACGCTGGACTCTCTCCAGCAGTTCCCTGTCCTTCTTGAACTGAGGGGCCCAGAACTGGACACAATATTCCAGATGCGGTCTCACCAGGGCAGAGTAGAGGGGGAGGAGAACCTCTCTCGACCTACCAACCACCCCCCTCCTGATACACCCCAGGATGCCATTGGCCTTCTTGGCCACAAGGGCACAGTGCTGGCTCATGGTCATCCTGCTGTCCACCAGGACCCCCAGGTCTCTAATAGGTCATTCCCCAATTTATACTTTCCTTTTTGTTTTGGTGGTTCTTTTGATCTAGAATGTGCAGATGCTGAGAATACCTTCTCTCCTTATGGCTCTGAGGAAAACCTCCCTGGACTCTTTAGAAGTACTAGGTTATGTGCAGGCTTTCTGCTTGAACAGCATCACCAAATACCAGTTTTATAACAGCAATAATAATAAATACTACTCTCAGATATTGTTTATTATTTCGGTATGAATCCATGTGGCATTTCACAGATCAACAGGCAAGTACCCTGAAGAATATCAGCACTTTTTGTAGTGTATCTTTTAAGCTGTTCTGTAGTGGCTCCTGCAGTTCATAGCCTGTTTACAGTACTGACCCACCAGCAAAGTTTCTTCATTCCTGACGAGCAGGCCAGTTAAAGCTACAGCTTTTCTTTTGTCAGCTCAAAATCTAGATATAATCTGATTCATACATGTTCTTTCTCCTACTACCAGGTTTTAGTAGCATTACCCCATGAAGTAGCCAGCAATACAGCAACAGTTTGACAGCTGTTGTTCTGATACATTTTTAAATGCAATGTTAATGTTCTCTCAGTTTAATTTTGTCTTCGTGTTTTTCCCCTCTGCCTCCTCATCTCTCAGAAGATTATTTTGATTTATACTTACTGATCATCCCTCTGACCTGGCCTGGCCTAGCTTTTGTTTTGTTAGGTTTCAGGTTTTCTAATGTCTTGTTCAGCTGTTTTAGTGTGACCTGGATTTCTATGGCATCATTTATTATTTCCTTGAGGAATTAAATTCTTCTAGGTGTCTGTCCACTTTTCTTTGCCAACACTGAAACCCAGAATTTGTATAGTACTCTAAAAATGCTCTCTACTTGTATCAATTAGAGTTGCCACGAGATACCATAGGCTTTCTTACACAGGTTCTTTTTTTTTAGGTTAACATTTTCTCTTGAATATTTTTTATCCATAATAATTTGTATTGAAAAAAAAAAGGATAAATATATTTCTTCTTTTTTTCTCAAATTACTTTAGTGTGGAACTTGATGTTTTGTGTTCTTGGGCAACTGGGTCTTACAGTTCTGTAGATAACTTAAAACATATAGACTAACATTCAGTGGATTTTGTATCTGATGGGATCTGTAGCATTTTAATATTTTCTTTCTGTAGCTCCTCCAGCCTTCTTTCTCACTGATTTTCACTTAGCACCATATCTGTTACAATTTTTAATGTGTAATATTACTTACACAGGTAGAAGAGATTGCTGTACATATAAAGGCAAGCCTGACTTCAGCGATGAACACTTAAAAACCATAAATGACAGTATAGCAAGCAAAAAGTAAAAGAACTTCAGATTTGTGCATGGCAGATTGTCTATTTTGGAATTACGTTATGAAAAGAACAATTTATGTACATTCATTCTTTCTTTAATTCAAGTTGTTTTACAGACAATTAATCAACTTTACTGAAGAGGAAGACTATTTACTGTGTAAAGTGAGTCCCAAGCCAATTAGATTCACAGGTCCCTCAACAGCCACCTGTGTCAAAATTAAGAATTCAGCTTCATTAAAGGTAGCTGCTTGCGGTCCTTCATGTTCTGCAGTGACTCTTACAGTGAAAGTTTGATGCTGCAGTACTTCAGTAGCTTCTGAACTGGTATTCACAACACACACATCAGTGCCTAGCAATTCCCAGGTGTCCTGGGAAGGCAGAGTGCAGACAGTGGGACACCGTGTCAAATGACATTCAAGATCACAGTATCTAGGAGGCCCATAAGCAACCATGTAGTAAAGCTGAAGCGAACTCCACCTTTTCTGGAGTATCAGCTGTGTTAGCAGAGGAAGCTTAAGAATGATAAAGTGGATGGATGCTGTTTGACTCAGCCTGATAGACTGGATAGAATCACAGAACCATTAAGGTTGGAAGTGACCTCTAAGATCATTGACTCCAACCGTCAACCTAACACCACCATGCCCACTAAACCATATCCTGAGTGCCACATCCATGTGCTTCTTGAACACCCTCAGGGATGGTGACTCCAGCACCTCTCTGAGCAGCCTGTTCCAGTGTTTGACCACTCAGTGAAGAGATTTTTCCTAATATCCAATCTAAATCTCCCCTGGCACAACTTGAGGCCATTTCCTCTTGTTCTGTCACTAGTTACATGGAAAAAGAGACCAACACCCACCTCCCTACAACCTCCTTTCAGGTGGTTGTAGACAGTGATAAGGTCTCTCCTCAGTCTCCTCCAAACCAAACAGTTACAACTACCTCAGCCACTCAGATGATGCAGCTTTGCATCATTTGAAGGGAAGAAGCATGCCTAAGGAGTATGGGTTTTTTCCATAGACCCAAGACCTGTGTACTACATTCTTAACGTGTTGTGATCTGCCACTGGGCTGAGGCTGATACAGACTTGGCATTTTGTATGGCACCACTGTGGGGGGTGTTTTCAGCAGCCGCAGGGAATCTTACATGTCTGTGATACAGCTGGCCTTCCTGTGTCCTTCCAGAGGTCCTTTCAAATGAGGGCATAACCTCACCATCTGTGCAGCAAAGTAGTGTTAACAGAGGTGCCCTGGTTTGAAGAAAGATAAAAGGACCACTCCTTTCCCCAGAGGAGTATAGAGGACACCTTGTACCTGGGTAAATTTTGGGTAATGGCACTGAAGTGAAGAGCTCCTGTATGTTTCTATCAGCAGAAAAAAGCTGAATTGGCTCACTGGTTTTAAAAAGCCGTTTTAGTTGTTTATATCAGTGAACAAATCCTGGCTTTGTTATGTGCCCTTTTGCTTACAGTTGGGTGTTGGGATATTTTTGTTAGTTTTACTACTACTTTTGCTTTTCCAGCACAGTAAATACAGCTGTCACTAAATGTTGAGAAATCCCATCACATTGTCAAAATGCAATGTTCTTAAAATTCCTGAGACTATTAGAATTACAGAAGGGTTTGCATTTCACAAGTGATCACATTTTCAGGCTTTTCTCCTAACCCCAGGGACTTGAAACATCATCTGCACAAGTAAAATCCCAAATTTTCATGTTTTTAAGGAGACGCTTTGCCACAAACACTAGGCACTGTAAAGGTGTACAGTACTGCAATTTTCTGCTCTGAGTGTTGAAGATCACCTTAATCTTTAGAATCTAAGCTACTGCTTTTTCTTAAAAATAAACCAAAAGAGCAACAATCCCAAGGCTCTTCCTATCCCACCAAAAAGTTTCACTGAAGGCAAGGATACTAACAATGTAATCTCCTATTCTTTAAGCCTACAATTCACCATTGACAATAAGTTTGTGAAGTTTGTTTTTTGTAATAATCTGAAAAGCAGTTTTTAATACTTACATTCCATGTGACTTCTACTTCACTGTTTATTAAATAGCTGAGGACTTTACCACGCATCTTTAAGTATTTTTACAATGCTTCCTAAAGCAGATTTCCTTCCTCTTCAACTTCTGATGCATTTAGAAGTTTTCCGTAAACAGAATCATTTAGGTTGAAAAAGACCCTTAGGATCAAGTCCAAGCAGCCCTAAAGCTCACAAAGGAGTCCAACATCACACTAAAGCTCACAAAAAGTATGGAATTTTGCATGTGTGCAAGAGAAAAGCTTTGAGATTAATCCTACAGGACTTTCTGAGTTTGCGCTAGCCCAGTGTTTATTTAATTATTCTGGTAGCACAGTATTTTTTGAGTAACATTCATGACATTCACATCACAGTGGCTTTAATGAGTCTTCTCTTTGTCTTAGGCATATTGGCTTGTTGCTAAAAGAAGAAAAAACAACAAAAAACCAAAAAACTCTTGAATTTCAATAGATGAAACAGGAAAGTGACTGTGGTGTTGAGGCAGAGTAAGATCAATTATTTTCTGAGGGACCTGATTTTATTTATTTATTTTTATTGGATGAGGTGCAAGCATTGTCTTTTAACTTATCTGAGTAGGTGCTTTTAGCGTGGTTTTTTTTTATACCTGTGAATCTTGCCAAGTTTCTCTTAACTAATCGACTGGTATTAAACAGTTTTATGATAACTGAATAACATTAACCTTCATGGTGACTTTCACTATAAAAACAGCTTTGCCCTTGTCTACCCAAAGCCTTTTAAAATGTGGAAGTAAACAGAATTTCATCATCATCTCTCTGTGAGGCCAATAGCTAAAAACAAAAGAAACTTGCCAGTCCAAGGACTAGTCATCCCTTGACCTGGCTAACAGACTCTGGGTTTCGAGGCCTAGAACAAGGAGCAGAAATTCTGCAAGTCTGAGTTTCCTGCAGGTTGAAACTTTCCTCAGAACTGTACGTTCCCAAGTTTCTTGAAAGTCTGCAGTTTTCTTAATATTTCACTTGTCCAACTCAACTAATGAAGTAGCAGCTGGTCCTGCATCTGCACTGGTAAACTACAATACATCGTATGTACATACTGGATAGTTTGACTGGGGAAACCACTGATGGTGAGCTACAGTTTTAGAGCTGGGATCAGATGCATTGCCAAATGCTGTGACAATGGTTTACTTTGTACCTTTGTAAAATTATTCATTATAGAAGAGAACATGTTCAGAAAGTTACTCTAATTTGCTAATCTAATGATTACTAGTATCTAACAGCTGCACTGTAAAGGCTGACATATGTATCATGTGGTAGCCTGATGCATTTAATTTTTTTCTCAAAATGCTGTCAATTTTCCAGTTGCTTAGTTCTCCCTTTCACACTACTGTCTTTCCAAACCATCAATGATATGGCATCATGTGGGTTAAAGAGACAAAAAAAAATATGATTCCAAGTTAAATTTCTAGAAAATTACTCTTCTGTGACTACACATGAGCTTGTGATGCAGAGGGCCTATTATCACCAAGATGTGATTCAAACAGATGTAATTCTATCTGTACATTTCAGAGCATGGAGAACTCATTTGTACTTGATGTAAGCAAGCAGACATTATTTCATGTGATAGGCACATGTTACCAGAGATCCTCAGGGAGAGTTTTCATCAGGCTTGTTTTTAGCTGAAAAGCCATGGAAATACCAAAGCTACCTCTTTTTTTTTTTTGCTTTCAGATTGTTCCAGTTATTTCCCTACCAGCTCTTCCACAGCATAAAAGTACTCTTTTAAACCAGCTTACATAAACTGCTTAGATAATAAACATTATGCAGTTCAAATCTTACTGTGGCTAAAAAGAAATACTAACATTACCCAGGAGTACGCAGATGCCATCTACTTAGTTCCTCCCGATCCACAAAGGACAAATTCTCACCTGATAAAAACAGGAGGCCAGTTGCGCCACCGAAAACTTGGGAGTGAAGTTGAGCGTCCCTTAGCTGCAGTTATAAAGTGTGGTTAGAAGTAAAGCTGCAAATACTCTGTGCTAATAAAGCCCCACAAAAACCAAGATTAATTTTGTACAACAGCTTTTAATAAAATGTTAAGCACTAGAAGCATGTAAGGCTGATGTTACAGATCTCTGCCTATTTCTGAGCTTTTGGGTAACTCACATATTTTTTTTCTTGCAAAAAAAAATCTGGCTGTTTATACCAGAACTGATCATTCTTGGCTGAAAATTACTTTGCAAATACATGAGGTCACATCATCAGCTGTGTAGCATGTCCTGAGCTTGCATCAAGTATTTGGCCCTTTTCAAAGTTGCCCCTTTCCTGTATCTATGCATCCATCTATTCACTCATTCTAGTCTCCGGTACAACATACATGAACATCTATAGCTGTATTGTCTCAAATTTCTATTATATCCATGGGTAACTGGCAATGCTCCTGGAACTTGAGACCTGTGGATCCCATGGTACATCCGCTGCAGTCCCAAGGAAGGATGCAGCTGATTTATAAAATTTTGATGCAGCCCAGTCACTACATGGGGAAGCAGACTCACAATAAGAACTGCCATCCATACAAGTTCACACCAGATTTCCCCCTGCAAAAACAGGGTCAAGAAAAGTGCTTCAAGCCACAAGATCAGTGTTTCCCTTTTGCAATTATTAGTTTCTCTTTCAGGATGACATTTTCAAACATGTCAAGTGATGATTTTTTTTCACCTTTTTTTTTTTTCCAAACACGTCTAAATCATTTAAGTTTTCCAAATAGCTCAGCTATGTTGCTTTCTATTTTCAGTTTCCCAACTTGTATTTGATCCTTTATTTTGCTGAGTTCTGCCCTTACTCTCAGTTTATTCTTACACAGAAGATAAATAGGTCAAATCAGCTTTAAAATCCTGCCCTTTAAGGTGTTTCCACTTTCAAGAGAGTGTCAAAAGTGCAGTGGGAATTCCACCTTTGTGTTAGAGTGATGCCAAACAGCTGTGTCTGCTTTGCAAATGGAGGGCACTTTTAAAAAGACTGGCTGGCCCTGTCCTGCCCTTAATTCCCCTACTGACCTCTGTACACATCCCTTACTTAAAAAGAAGAATCACAGAGAGCTCGCTCTGTAATTAGAAGATAAAAGGAGTTGTGTTGAGGATGGGCCCAAGAGCATTTGATTACTTACAAGTATTGCGAACAGCCAAACACTCCTAGAAATTGGCAGATGTAATTTCAAGCATACAGAAAAACAAGAAATGAAAGATGAAGAGATACCACTCTGACACAGCTATACTTCAGAGCACAGCCATGTAATGCAGTTAAAATGTGTGTTGCAGTATTAAACAACACTTAGTGTGCTAAGACGAACTAGCCCTCTCCCTAGCCCACTCAAATCCATGCTTGCATCTCTCATTAAAGAAAATGTGCTTGCATCCCAGTCTGAAGAGAAATGCTGTCTCTCACCTGTTCGTCCTGGGTCTGTCACATACTGAGCCTCCAGCACATCAAAGTTAGCTAGTACTGAAGACTGCA